TTTTTATTAATTAAAAAAAAAAAAGGTGTGAAAAGCACTTACCTGAGCTCTAATGTTACTAAGGTCAGCACCTAAACTCTCAAGGACACGAGCAGCCACGCCTTCACCCTCCCGAAGCAATCCCAGAAGCAAGTGCTCAGATCCAATGTAATTGTTACCTGACTCAAAAGGAACGTGTATTAGTGTTGCTTTGGTGGTTAGACCATGAAGATTGGAGAGGATACAATCAAAAGATATTTCACAATCACGCCCTTTAAATTTTCATAAATACAAAATCCTAATCAGAAAAATCAAGAGCTGCAAAAATGCCGACGCCTCAACGCAATATGAAAAATTTGGGTTATTGTAATATTTGACATGTTAAGGATGTAAATTGCAAAATCGTTTTATTAAGCCAGCAATTCTCAATAGCTCCACCTAGAGCAGGTGCAAAAATAAAATAAAAACTAAAGCAAGTTACTCGAGTACTTCCATAATGATCAAAGTATTTGGGTGTTTCTTGTAACCTCAAGAGTAGTGTCCATAGCCATCCATATAAAAACTTAGCAACATACGAAAAATGAAAAGGATTTACCAAGCTGGCGGGCCTCCTCTAACGACAGTTCAAGGACACGTTTTGCGCGGGGGGTAAAAGGTATCTCAACCGGAACAAATCCACTCCCACGTCCAATTATCTTCTCCACCTCCACACGTGCTTCCTTGAGAGTAATTCCTGTTGACTTGAGGACCTTAGCCGCAATTCCAGTGCCCTCACCAATAAGCCCAAGCAAAATCTGCTCGGTCCCAACAAAATTGTGCCCAAGTCGTCTCGCCTCATCTTGCGATAGCATAATCACCTTTATAGCCTTCTCCGTGAAGCGCTCGAACATTGCACGTGGAGGAGCCATTCGTTGTTTTCTTCTTTGTTTGGTTAAAGTGGTGGCATTTTTTACCATGGATTGGAGAGAGGGGCCGCTTTTCTGAAACATTACGTCCAAGGCATTGACCCCACGTAGTCCAATGAAACTTTGAATCCTCGTGGGAGTTAAACGTGAGCTGCAAAGCATTGTGGGTGCCTTTCTTGTTCTGTTATCTCCCTCAATCTGTTTGTTGTTTGCCCAACTAACAGAAGATGGCAAGCAGGTTGACTGAAGGAAAGCATGCGCCATATTTTGCCTTGGGTCTGCATATGTGCCCACAAGTGATTACTGATTAGAGAGCTCATAATAGCAAATGTGATGGGCTAATTTACTCCACCACATGAAAAAAGATTTCCTAATGGTTCAAAAAAACGAAAGA